CCCCCAGATCTGCCAGAGACCCCCTGAACCACCCAGGGACCCCCAGGACTGACACGGGACCCCCAGAACCAACACAGGACCCCCCCACAGATCTGTCAGAGACCCCCAGAACCACCCGGGGACCCCCAGAACCACCCAGGGAACCCCAGAACCAACACAGGACCCCCAGAACTGACACAGGACCCCCAGAACCACCCAGGGAACCCCAGAACCAACACAGGACCCCCCCGGATCTCCCCAGGAGACCCAGAACTGATACAGGACCCCCAGAACCACCCAGGGACCCCCAGAACTGACACAGACCCCCCCCGGATCTCCCCAGGAGACCCAGAACTGACACAGGACCCCCAGAACCACCCAGGGACCCCCAGAAGCAGCCGGGGACCCCCCGGGTCTTCGGCAGCAGCCGGGTCAGCCCCCCCGGACTGACACGGGACCCCCCTGGCCCCCCAGCCCCCCCCAGCCCCCCCCGTGCCCCCCTTACGCGGTGGCCTCGAGGTGCAGGTCGGGGACACAAACGTTGTCCTCGCCACAGTCCAGCTGGATGTGAGCCTGGGGACGGGGGACAGGGGGGACTGGGGGGACTGGGGACACTGGGGACAGTGGGGACAGTGGGGGGATTGGGGACACTGGGGACACTGGGGGGATTGGGGACAGTGGGGGGATTGGGGGGATTGGGGACACTGGGGGGATTGGGGGGATTGGGGACAGTGGGGACAGTGGGGGGATTGGGGACAGTGGGGACAGTGGGGACAGTGGGGACAGTGGGGGCATTGGGGGGACTGGGGACACTGGGGGGATCGGGGGGATTGGGGACACTGGGGACACTGGGGACACTGGGGGGATTGGGGACACTGGGGACACTGGGGGGATTGGGGGGACTGGGGACACTGGGGACACTGGGGGGATTGGGGACACTGGGGGGATCGGGGGGATTGGGGACACTGGGGACAGTGGGGGCATTAGGGACAGTGGGGACAGTGGGGGCATTGGGGGGATTGGGGGCATTGGGGACAGTGGGGACAGTGGGGGCATTGGGGGGATTGGGGACAGTGGGGACAGTGGGGGGATTGGGGACAGTGGGGGCATTAGGGACAGTGGGGACAGTGGGGACAGTGGGGGCATTGGGGGGATTGGGGACAGTGGGGACAGTGGGGACAGTGGGGACAGTGGGGGGATTGGGGGGATTGGGGACAGTGGGGGCATTGGGGACAGTGGGGACAGTGGGGGCATTGGGGGGATTGGGGGATATTGGGGATATTGGGGGGGTTGGGGACAGTGGGGACAGTGGGGACAGTGGGGGGATTGGGGGACAGTGGGGACAGTGGGGACAGTGGGGACAGTGGGGACAGTGGGGGGATTGGGGACAGTGGGGACAGTGGGGACAGTGGGGACAGTGGGGACATTGGGGGGATTGGGGACAGTGGGGACAGTGGGGACAGTGGGGACAGTGGGGGCATTGGGGACAGTGGGGGGATTGGGGACAGTGGGGACAGTGGGGACAGTGGGGACAGTGGGGGCATTGGGGACAGTGGGGACAGTGGGGGCATTGGGGACAGTGGGGGGATTGGGGACAGTGGGGACATTGGGGACAGTGGGGACAGTGGTGGGTATGGGTGGATTGGGGACAGTGGGGACAGTGGGGGGATTGGGGACAGTGGGGGGATTGGGGACAGTGGGGACACTGGGGGGATTGGGGGGATTGGGGGATATTGGGGATATTGGGGGGGTTGGGGACAGTGGGGACAGAGAGGACATGGCACAGGGGTAACGGGGACACAGGGTGACGCCATGTCCCCGGGGTGACACAGGTGACACAGGTGGCACAGGTGACCCCAGGTACCCAGAGGTGACACAGGTGACACAGAGGTGACACAGGTGACACAGGTGACCCTGGGTGCCCAGAGGTGACACAGGTGACACAGAGGTGACACAGGTGACCCCGGGTGCCCAGAGGTGACACAGGTGACACAGAGGTGACACAGGTGACACAGGTGACCCCGGGTGCCCAGAGGTGATACAGGTGACACAGAGGTGACATAGGTGACACACAGGTGACACAGGTGACCCTGGGTGCCCAGAGGTGACACAGGTGACACAGGTGACACAGGTGACCTCGGGTGCCCAGAGGTGATACAGGTGACACAGAGGTGACATAGGTGACACACAGGTGACACAGGTGACCCCGGGTGCCCAGAGGTGACACAGGTGACACACAGGTGACACAGGTGACCCCGGGTGCCCAGAGGTGACACAGGTGAAATAGGGGTGACAGCGGTGACAGGGGTGACACAGAGGTGACCCAGGTGACAGTGGTGACACAGGGATGACACAGGTGACACACAGGTGACACAGAAGTGACACAGGTGACACACAGGTGACACAGAGGTGACACAGAGATGACACAGGTGACAGTGGTGACACAGGGGTGACACATGTGACACAGGTGACACACAGGTGACGCACAGGTGACACAGAAGTGACACAGGTGACACAGAGGTGACACACAGGTGACACAGAGGTGACACAGAGGTGACACAGGTGACAGCAGTGACAGGGGTGCCCAGAGGTGACACACAGGTGGTGCGCAGGTGACACAGGTGACACACAGGGCACAGGTGACCCTGGGTGCCCATAAGTGACACAGGTGACCCCAGGTGCCTGGAGGTGACACAGGTGACACAGGTGACACAGAAGTGACACAGAAGTGACACAGAGGTGACACAAGTGACACACAGGGGTGACACAGGGGTGACACAGAGGTGACACAGGTGACACACAGGGGTGACACAGGTGACACAGAAGTGACACAGAGGTGACACAGGTGACACACAGGGGTGACACAGGTGACACACAGGTGACTTAGGTGACCCAGGTGACACAGGGATGACACAGGTGACACAGAGGTGACCCAGGTGACCCAGGTGACCCAGGTGCCAGCGGTGCCAGGGGTACCTTGGCCTCCAGGCGGGTGCGGGTGGTCGGTGCCAGCAGCGGGGACAGTGCCAGCGGCTCGGGGGGCACGCGGGGGTCCAGGGCCAGGCTCAGGGACACCGGGATCGGGGACAGCTTGTCCCGGAACTCCGACTCGTTCTGGGGACACCGAGGGACGTGGGGGCACGGGGGGGACATGGGGGGGACACGGGGGGGACACGGGGGGGGCACAGGGGGGACACGGGGGTGGGCATGGGGGACAGGGGGACACAGGGGATGGGGGGGATATGGGGACACTGGGGACGGGGGGGTCCCAGGGGTGACACAGGGGACGGGGGAGGGTCCCAGGGGTGGCGCGGGGGGTCCCAGGGGTGACACAGGGGATGGGGGAGGGTCCCAGGGGTGACACAGGGGACGGGGGAGGGTCCCAGGGGTGACACGGGGGGTCCCAGGGGTGACACAGGGGACAGGGAGGGTCCCAGGGGTGACGTGGAACGGGAGGGGTCCCAGGGGTGACACAAGGGTGACATCGGGGGGGACCCGGGGGGGACCCAGAGGGACAGAGGGGGTGCCCAGGGGGGTGTTCGGGGGTCCTGAGGGGGTTTGGGGGACTCCTGGGGGTGTCCGGGGGTCCCGAGGGGGTTTGGGGATTCCCAGGGGGGGTGTTTGGGGGTCCCAAGGGGATTTGGGGTCTCCCGGGGGTGCTGGGGGTGCCTGGGGGGGTGTTTGGGGGTCCCGACGGGGTTTTGGGGTCTCCCGGGGGTGGCTTGGGGGTGCCCGGGGGGGTGTTGGGGGTCCCAATGGGGTCGGGGGCTCCCGGGGGGTGCTGGGGGTGCCGGGGGGTGTTTGGGGGTCCCCAAGGGGATTTAGGGTCTCCCGGGGGGTGCTGGGGGGTGCCCGGGGGGGTGTTTGGGGGTCCCAAGGGGGTCTGGGGGCTCCCGGGGGTGCTGGGGGTGCCCGGGGGGGTGTTTGGGGGTCCCAAGGGGGTCTGGGGCTCCCGGGGGTGCTGGGGGTGTCCGGGGGGTCCCTCCCGCCCCCCCTTACCCGCAGCACCACGGGCAGGGTGCGGCACTGGGGGGTCCCCCCGTTGGGGACCACCAGGGTCAGGCTGCGGGTGGGGGAGGGGCCGGGCTGGGCGGCCCCTCCCCCCCCCAGGAAGAGCGCGCGCCGCCCCCCCCCCGCCTTCAGCCCGTCCACGGTGAGATCCACGGCCAGGCCTGGGGACACGGGGGGACACGGGGGGACACGGGGGGACACGGGGGGGACACGGGGGGACACGGGGGGGAACAACGGGGGACAACGGGGGAAAAAAAAAAAAAAAAAAAAGAAAAAAACACGGGGACATGGAGGGGACAGGGGGGGGACACGGGGGGACACGGGGGGGACACGGGGACATGGAGGGACACGGGGGGACCCGGGGGGGACACGGAGACACGGGGGGACAAGGGGGGGACACGGGGACATGGGGGGGACACGGGGGGACAAGGGAGGAACACGTCAGGGACATGGTGGGACACAGGGGGACACGGGGGGACATGGGGGACACATCAGGGACATGGGGGGACACGGGGGGGACACGGGGGTGCATGTCAGGGACACAGGGACATGGGGACACAGGGGGACACGGGGGGACACGGGGACATGGGAGGACACAGCAGAGACACGTCAGGGACATGAGGGGACACGGGGGGGACACGGGGGGGACACGGGGAGACGTCAGGGACATGGGGGGACACGGGGACATGGGGGGGGACACGGGGACATGGGAGGACACAGCAGAGACACATCAGGGACATGGGGGGACACGGGGGGATACATCAGGGACACGGGGACACGGGGGGACACGGGGGACACAGCAGAGACACATCAGGGACATGGGGGGACATGGGAGGACACAGCAGAGACACATCAGGGACATGGGGGGACACGGGGGGACACGGGGGGACACAGCAGAGACACATCAGGGACATGGGGGGACACGGGGGAATACATCAGGGACACGGGGACACGGGGGGACACAGCAGAGACACATCAGGGACACGGCCACACGGCCCCCGGGGGTCCCCTGTGCCCCCCCCCGTGTCCCCCTCATGTCCCCACTGTGGCCCCTGTGGCCCCCGATGTCCCGTGTGACCTCCCTATGTCCCGTGTCCCCCTGTGTCCCCCCCATGTCCCCAGGTGCCCCTGTGCCCCCCCGCATCCCCCATGTCCCCCCCATGTCCCCAGTGTCCCCTGTGTGCCCCTCATATCCCCCCTATGTCCCCTGTGTCCTCCCTGGGTCTCCCATGTCCCCTGTGTCCCCCCAGGTGTCCTCTGTGTCCCCCCAGGTGTCCCCTCTGTGTCCCCTCCATGTCCCCGGTGTCCCCCATGTCTCCCCCATGTCCCCCCAGGTATCCCCATGTCCCTCCCCATGTCCCCAGGTGTCCCCATGTCCCCCCAGGTATCCCCATGTCCCTCCCCCTGTCCCCACGTGTCCCCTGTGTCCCCCCCATGTCCCCGGTGTCCCCCATGTTCCTCCCCATGTCCCTCCCCGTCTCCCCAGGTGTTCCCATGTCCCCCCCCGTGTCCCCAGGTATCCCCATGTCCCTCCCCGTGTCCCCAGGTGTCCCCAGGTATCCCCATGTCCCTCCCCAGGTGTCCCCATGTCCCCGAGGTATCCCCATGTCCCTCCCTGTGTCCCCAGGTGTCCCCATGTCCCCAGGTCTCCCCAGGTATCCCCATGTCCCTCCCCGTGTCCCCAGGTGTCCCCAGGTATCCCCATGCTCCTCCCCGTGTCCCCAGGTGTCCCCTGTGTCCCCCCCATGTCCCCTGTGTCCCCCCATGTCCCCAGGTGTCCCCAGGTGTCCCCAGTGTCCCCCCCTGTCCCCCCCTGTCCCCTCACCGATGGGCCCGGGCAGGTGCCGTCCCGAGGCGTTCAGGCAGAAGGTGACGTTGATGCTGGGAGGGGACACGGGAGGGGACATGTGGGGGTGGCACCAGTGTCCCCGTGTGCCCCAGGACACCCCGTGTCCCCTCCCAGTGTCCCCATGTCCCCCCCCCAACGTCCCCACACCCTCAGCCCCCCTCAGTGTCCCCTCCCAGTGTCCCCATGTCCCCCCTGTGCCCCCCAGAGCCCCTCAGGGTCCCCTCCCAGTGTCCCCATGTCCCTGTCACAACGTCCCCACACCCCCTCAGTGCCCCCTCCCACTGTCTCGATGTCCCTCCTGTGCCCCTCAGAGCCCCTCAGGGTCCCCTCCCAGTGTCCCCATGTCCCCCCTGGTGTCCCCCACAATGTCCCCACACCCCAGAGCCCCTCAGTGTCCCCTCCCAGTGCCCCAATGTCCCCCCTGTGCCCTCCACACCCTCTCAGTGTCCCCTCCCAGTGCCCCAATGTCCCCCCCACAACATCCCTGCGCCCCCAGACCCCCTCAATGTCCCCTCCCAGTGCCCCAATGTCCCTCAGTGTCCCCCCCAGCCCCCCCCATGTCCCCCCCACATCCCCCCCTGTGCCCCCAGCCCC